ATTGTCATTACAGTGGCAGCGTGTGATGGCTTCTAGTTACCTTTATCATGTGGTCCAGTGAGAATATCTTCTTGTGAAAAATGAATAAATTCTCTTTTTTTCAGTGAACTTTGAAGCCCTGATCATCTCCATGGCCGTGGTGTGTGGAGTCATTCTCCTCGCCATTGGCGTCTGTTGCTGCTGCTGTTGCTGCAAGAAGCGCCCTTCAAGGTAACATTACAAGTCCGAGGTAACTGAGTAACAGGAGTTTTAGAAAGCTGTGTCCGATGCATGAAAGCACTTAGTGGGTCAATGCTTTTCGGGATGAAAGAGCTCTACATGGGAGCACTTTTCACCTCAGGCTCACACGGGCTGCTGTAGAGTTAAAGCAACAGCTGTGTCCAGGAAAACACAGCATGTAGCGTTGAAATGGATTACACAGAGCAGTTTGGAGTAGATGTCACAGTTACTTCCTTACAGTTGTGTGCTCATTATAATGGCAGAAAAAACAGGAAACGAGTGAAAGAAAACCAGAAAGATCCCTACTTCTGCTAGCGCTAAAGAACCCAGGTTGCTCACATGTTACGATAATGTCAACATTCAATGATTAGTCGTGTTATCTGTGCTCAGGTATTTACTTCACCCTCAGTCTTTAGACTGCATCTTATCACTGTGATAAGTGAAGACGGAGGGGGTCAAACCACAAAGTCCACGCTTTGTTTCATGGTTCATGTAGAAGCTTTAGTGCAGGGGTGTCAAACTCAAATACACAGTGGGCCAAAATGCAAAACTGGATCAAAGTCGCGGGTTAACATTGATATTCATTGAAAAAAAATCTTCCTCCAAATATAGAAATGAATCTTTTCTTATGGACTCAAACAAGTTTTGCTGAAAAACTGAATATGGAACAAGCAAAGCTTAATACTAAACAATATATATAACTTATATAAACGTGTATATATAACTTAATATTGCACACGTTATCAAATTTTCATCATATTCTCCCACCTGTCCAGAAAGCTTCAGTTTTCTGCCTTTCTTTTTGCCATTTTGGGATCGGTAGCATGGCAGTATTTACATGGTTGCTATGACTATGGTCAACAGAGGAGAGGGTGCTAATGGGTCCTGT